TAATCGGCATTTGGAGCATGCTCTTTTATTAGGGTTTGTAATCCTCCATACACACCCGACATAACATTTGCTCCATCGTATCCCTGTCCTCTACATTTAGTCAAATCAATTCCATATTCTTTAGTCAAATTTAAAATGACAGTTTTCAGACCTGCAGCACTGCAATCGGTTACTGCTATGAATCCTAAAAAGGACTCACAGATTTTTATTTCTTTAGGCACATTATCATCATTTTCTGTAACCGAGATATATCGAAAAACTACAGATAGTTGGTCAATTTTTGACAAGTCTTGTGTTGTATCCAGAATTATTGTCAGAAATGGAGTTTTTTTAATTTCTGAGATAATACTGTTCCTAACGTTAGTACCAAGCAAACTAATAATTTCGTTTTGAATCGTAGGGCTTAAATAATTTATTTCACCTTTCGGTTTTAGAAAAAGTTCTTTTAAAGTTGCATCATAGTTAGATAGCAGACGTGAAATTGCCATAAAATTGCCAGAATCAGAATCATGCCCCCTCAAAGGTAGATTACAAGATATTAAAGTAATTATAACATTAATTATACGATGCAGTACATCTCTCCAGAATGTAATTTTACTATCGATTTCACTTTTCAATAGAGTATCGATGGTATTTCCTTGCAACCAATTATTATAAGAGAGTGAGGCACTAATATGCTGCTGTGACTTTTCATGGTCAAGAATAGTTTGTGTGAAATTGCTTCTAACCGAAACACCGTTAACCCAAGCAGAGGAGTACGATTTGTTTTGACGATCTGCTAATAACCAACAGAAGTGACTACGGTTTGTTTAAAACGTTAGAATAACATAACCATGGTCTTATAATTTTTATGCCTGCCTGATTGAAATATGAATAATAATAAGCTGAAAAAGGTCGGTTATTTTCTGAAACTTTTGGAAATGGTCCTTGTGGTTTAAATGGACCCAATTTAAAAATTATTTTTCGTTCGCATTCAGTTAAATTGTCACCAAAATTTCCTCTATCTGATGAAATTATATTACAATCTGCATTATCTGCAGATATATCAGAATCGTTGACTTGGGGTTCCTCGATTTCTGGATGGACATCCGATAAAGTATGTGCTTGGCTTTCTTCTATTTCCGGGTGGATATGTGACGAAGAACATGCTTCAGAAGAATCTAAAAATAAACGAGTAATTGTTAAAAAATAAATACGAATGCTTTGATACTAAACTAAAAAGAGTTATATATAAATAAATAACGTTACTAAGGGTTTAGAGAGTGTTCAGTTCAGACGCACACAGATTCTACGCGGATTGTGCTCGTACCTATTAGTAGATACAAAATCACCTGCAGCCCGTCCGTGCATTACTATACACCTGCGTGCTATTTAAACGCAGCGCGTAGTGTAGTGGCCATATAAAACGAGAACCCGAAAGCGAGTCTGCACATCTGAAGTTCTCAACACGCAATTAACGATACGATACGGACTGATAAACAAACAACAAAACAATTCGATCCTATAGATAAGTTAGAATTTTGTTTTTTTTAATCAAGGCACGGAACCCTAAAAACAGTATAATTGTGAAAATCGAGGGGGGACAGACCGAAATTAAAAGATTTCCTTGTTTATCACTACGGGCCCCTAATAAATGGGTTGGGTAGTAGTGTAGTACTTACCTTTCCAATCTAAATCACTCACAGTATCTTGTCTCTGAAAAAATGAAGAAATTTTGGTCACTTTTTTTATAACCTCGTCCCTTTTCTGTTTATTTTTTCTTTTCTCAGCGCCGCTGGGATAATCTCTTTTTCTTTCACTCATTTCTTTTACAAATCGTTACTAATACTGCTAAACCAGAAGAACAATATTGTTTGTACTGAATTATACACGCTTAAGGCGGGAAAAAAGGAATTGCTTTAAAGAATTTTGTCATTTGTAAAATAAAATAAATTAGAAAGTTTTTATTCTTTTTCCTTACACACTTTGGGGGCCCCCGTGGCCCGGGGGCCCCGTATAATTGATACGGCAAATACGGCGGTAGCTACGCCCCTGCTAATCGATGTAGTATGTTTGAAAAGAGAAATAATATAGCATGGCTATATTATTTCTACTAAATATTAGAATTGGATTTGTATTTGATGTATTGTTTGGATTGGATGTAAAGTCCATACAATAGCTGATTCTTTTATTTGACTGTATTATGAGAATAGTAATAGTATTGAGGAAAAACTAGGATGGTCTAAAAGTTCAAAGGAATAAAGTAATAATACTAGATTTATCAAAATTAAATCTTATTGTATTAAGTCAAGGTAATATTTTGCATGCAGCGTCAATGGATGCGTTTCCCATAAGCAAGTAAAAAGAAGCCATAATGTTAAAAACGTTCACAATTATTCTAAAATATACAGGGTTTTCGAAAGACTCCATTACTTTTTATGAAAACCACACCGAGCGAAATCTAAAAATCTAGCGAAGCTATCTTGTAGTGTGTATCACGACATGGATTGCGCTAGTTGATTGTAGTTTGGCGTATCAAGTATGTATATCAGTCTGTTACAATGGTATTGTAACCTTAAGCAGTAAGGTGATGGGGGCAAAGTGCGCCATACTTTTTTCATAGTTGACTTTGGTGCAATATTACTTGTGCTTAAGTTCACGAGTGACACTAAATCATGGTACCATAAGGATCTGTGATGTTTTGCAACAACAACTAATGTCGTGTCATTAGAATCTGACGGCAAATTAACGAATTTCAGCATAAAATCTGAAAACAGTCTGACCCGGCGCACTTTGCCGACAAATCGGGTAAGTGCGCCTTGTATTAATAAAACGCAATAATAAAGCATCAGAATAAAAACAGCCCTATATTATTTTAAGAAAACAAGCAACAAAACGCATGCCATTTTTTATTTTTTCATAGCCACATTCTAGAAGAATCTATGTATTTAAAACCAAATTTCGGCTAAATGCGCCATACAATCTTAAGTCAGAGGCTATGAACCTTTTTTCTAAATATTGATAATCGAGTGTCAAGTATATTTTTCTTTTATTTACGATGGGAATACCATGGTTTGGAACTATTTCTTTGGTATAAATATTATAAAGGGACTGAAATAAGAAGTTAGTCATTGAAATTAGTTATTAAGTGTAATATTTATTATAAATTCTTAACAAAACTAGGTAACGAAAAGAAAATCAATGAGAAACATCTTCTAAAATATATTAGTTGTAATTATTCAAAAACATTAATCAAGCAAGGCTTGTTACCCTTACAACTTAATAACTTAAGAGAAGGAGATCGACTTTCCAGAGGATGATGTAGTCCGAGTCGATGGAAATCCCCTAAGACCTATGACTTTGGTTTTTTGTGGATCACTGCAGTAACTGAAGCCCTAAGTCGGCAATCACTCTGTCTAAAATATCATAAAATTCTTGAATGACAAATGGGTCTGCGGCAGTCTTAAGAGCAACCTCTACAGCCTGCGGTTTTTTAATTGATAACTTATAATGCTTTTTGACGCTTGAAAACCAATCTTTGCCGGGAGTACCATCGTTGAAAGGTGTTTTTAGATCGTTCTGCTTGACATGTCCCTTAACAATATCTAGAAACTCTGTACGAGTCAGGCCGAAGCCATTTTTTTTCAATTATATGCAAACATTTTGCCATCATTTTTTCTGTCTCATATTGAAATACTGGTGGTCTGCCTAGACTTAATGATTTTTGGCCCCTTCGACCTGTGACGTGGTCCATAATAAGTTTTCTTGGGATAGCAAAGGTTGATGCGGCTGCATACCCAGACATTCTATCCGATCGAACAGCTTCGACTGCTTCATTCAAAGCCTCTCTGGACCATGAAGGACTGTCAGTTTTTCTTTCATAGTGCCCCATCTTAAACAAAAATCATAAATAATAATGATTTAATAATTGTGACTTTTACTAGTCTATTGTAGACACATTTTAAAAAGTTTGTAACCTCTGGATTGCGGCGAAGTGCGCCATATAATAAGTCAGTATGGCGCGCTTCCCCAACTATATAAATTTGAGGTTTGAATATTTAACTTGCAAGAAATATATAAATTTTACTAGATAGGAGTGAAATAAAGTCAGAATCTAAAAGCAAAATATTTAAATTGTGCACTTACCTCACTCGAATATCGGTAAAAACTCGATTTCTTGAGATTTACGACGATGATCACGCCATAGTCATCTCTCCTCACCACTTTGAATATCAGTGAAAATAAAATGGCTCGTGTCTCAAACTCACATGACTAGAGCTATAATATATGAGTTTCACAAAGAACTATGATTTAGTTTGTAGCATCGATATAAGGTGTCACTACTAGTATTAAATCGGTAGTTTTCGAGATATTTGTGGTAGGTGCACTTGCCCGGTAGGCGCACTTTGCCACCGTCACCTTACAGTGCAAATAAATATTTTTGTATCCAGGAGACACCAGACATTTGATTTTGAATTTTCAGAAATATGTTTACGGAAGCTTGTTTAATAAGCCTAAAGATGGCGTAAGTTATTTCATTCAGGATGAAATATTGCATGTCTTTACTATATTAAAATAAACAATATATAAAAACAATAAGCTTCAATGTGTTGAATCCAACTTTTATGTTTTAGAAATATTGCTTGCATTGAACGCATCTGTATATATTTAGGACTACGCCATCTGTTAATATATAGGTAAAGTATTATATATTATTTGACATTTAATGTCAAAAATGTACAATTCCGCAGTTTTATATATCTATTATTTTAATGTTGTTGTTGCATAAGAAATTGAATTATAAGTTTCAAATATGATTTGCTTAAATAAATAAGCATAAATATTAATTGAGGAGCTACAAATACCTACGATTGGCGTGACATCTCTTGGAACAAATTGGAAACTAAAATGAACAAAGAGAGCTAGCTAGCCACTGCTAGAAATTAAGGTTGTGTTTTATCTCTGTCGTACGAGCGTGAACGTTCAGAGAGCGAATGAGAGGGCGTTCAGACTTTCAGCCATCAATTCATAACCATCTTTCTTTCTTGTGCAACTATTTCTCGTCGGTCGAGGACTCGAGGTCTAGGATCTAGCGCGATCGCAGAATGGACGCCATTCGTGCGAGATAATTCGAGTCGATATATAATTCGCGTCAATAGTGGGTGCGACGAGTGGCGGGCCGCGGGCGTGGAGTAGCCAATACTTATGCTATATGAGTGAGTGGTGCGTTGTGTCCTCGGTGTGGTGTGGAGTGTCCTGTGCTCGGAGTGGCAGTGAAGAGTGGAGAACGGCGGCGGGAGGCATGGCGGGCGCGAGCTGATCGGACGGGCGCAGTGTTCGCTCGCGCTCCGCCGGCCCCATGCGAGCTGCGGACGTTTTATGGGTGCATGCCTGAGCTGCCGGCGCCGTGAGCGAAAGGCACCCGAGAAGCGTTGGGTGCCGGGCGCGGTCCAGCCTAAGGGCGCGGCGGCTGAGCGTCTCCCCCGGCGCGCCTTGTTACGAGCCATGGCCAACTCCATTTCGAATATCAAGATGACGAACCCTCTGAAAAACATGGTCAGCAAGCGCCGAAAACGATATATGAAAGATGGCTTCAATTTGGACTTAGCTTGTATCCTTTTCTGAGTGTTAATTTTATGTTAGTGTGTGTTGCCAACCAGAGGTGAGTCCACTTTTTATCTCCTAACTGGATTTCATAGAGACACAAGTAGTTGAACCTGCTAGGATAGTTTTTTACTCAAGGACAAAGTATAACCTATAAGTCAATATAGGTAGTAGCAATTTTGTCTAGTTGAGGTTATACATTGATATGTTATGAAATATATCTTATATACAAGTAAACATATCACTAAGAATCTTGTCAAGTCATTTAAAAGAATTGATGGAGACCATTGCATTATGTCAAAACAAGTATGTTAAACATTTGAAAACTACAACTAGTTTGTATAAATGTTACTATATCCAGTGTATAGGTATGTAGGTGAAAGATATCTTGCATAGCAACAAGACACATAACCTATATTTATATACATGGGAAGTATATACAGCACTAACAAAGCAACTGATAATCATGTGGATCTAAAGATAACTTCTATTGAGTATTTATATAATTCCAGGGTGTTCTTAAACTCAATGTCAAGTTTTATTTAGTTAGCACTTCTAAGATAACTTGTTAGTCCAAACATGTATTATTAAGTGGTTATTCATTTAACATTCTAATTGTTAGTTAAAAAAGAAGTAGAGTTCTTTTTTGACGTTCATAAGTGTACATTGTGTTACCTATATAAATAAATGATTTTTGACTATGACTTTATTCTTATTGAATTAAAATAAAATACTTATTTAAAATAAGAACAGCTTGCATAGGACTGGAAACTAGTATTATTATTATTACTATTATTTTACTATTTTAAATAAATTCAAACTTCTTAACTATGTACTTTGAAACTATAATAAATCAAGTGGTTTTATATTTTATCAACTGTTCAATTAACATCAATATATATTTTACTCAAACCTATATTTGCTTTAGCTGATACATAGTAAATGCATCATTCAATATTATATAACATAAAATATTGATTATTCAACACTCAGAAATTTCTCAAAGCTTAATTAAAACATATTAATTTATAAAAATAATACAAAGTTACTAACTTACAAATTTAAGTAGGATTTAAAAAAAAATTCTATCACCTCATGTACTGTACAATATGATATTGACTCTATTACATTTACTGCCCAATGCCGGAGACATCTCTTATTTTATTTTGTGATCCTAATAATTAAAAACTTCTGATTGTTTTAGAACCTAAAAAGTACAACACAGTACGATAATTGTAACACTTGTATATGTTTAATATGACAACAGTTTTAATATTTTGGCAATATACTGTTCTTAAGTGAATAAATTCGATGACTTACTCCCCTCAATTTTCTACTTCTTTCAAATCGATTCCACATAGACTTCTTTATTATTATTTTTTAAAGCAACAGTTCTATGATATTGATTTATAGCTTATCTATCCACTTAACATTACATGTGTTATATGGGGATCTAAAAATCTTTTTAGTATCTTATCTAGTTGCTATGTTATGATTTTATGGTATGGTATTTTATATGATCTGAAACTTTTATTAGGGCTCAATAATGTTAAATATTTTACATTGTATAGACATCCAGCAGAAAGATAATGATCATAATATTGAGTGACAGTAGCAAGGTGTTCAGTGCTACCGAGTTTAGTATCTATAAAAGGTGCCTGCAACTGTTGTTCCAATAGTTTAATACAAATTAACAGACCTTTTCAATTTAATGAATTTAAAAAAAAAATGGTAATAAGCAGAACTAAAATGAATTAACTAGGCATGTCAGATTTATATAGATCATAAATATCACCCGTTGTAAGAAAAACCTTATTTGAATAACACATAAAAATATTAATTGCAAGAGTAATAAATGAGTATTAATTTAAAATAATAGGAAGTGTGTTTCGCGAACAAATGCAGTGACAAATTATCAGCACACGCGGCGGTCAGTCACCCGTTGCTCAAATGGGATTTATAAGTTATCTGATAATGATAATTATTTAATAAGGAAATACCATTTTTGTTTATACGCAGCATATGAGTCGATAGTGACATTTGAAACTGTACACTCAGCGTTGCCATGCTGTCTGAAAGCGTATAATAAATAGGTCGCATCGTCAGTGTTTTAATGTGCATTGTAATGAGAAATAGATTTGAAATTATATCGTATGATTCTAGGCAGTTTTAATGGAAACGTTACGATTTTAAACTAAGCTACACTTGTGTATAAACTTTACATTTTACATACATTATATCACTAAAAATATAGACAATATTTTAGCGGGTTCTCTTTTTTAATACGATTTAAAATAGAGAGTTCTATTGAAATGTTCAGTTCAAGAAAATAGCGTACCAATTCCAAAAAGAGCAGTGTTAGCCTAGTGCTAGTGCTTCAGCGTGCGACTCTCATCCCTTAGGTCGTATTTAACATTCGCTGGAACGGTGAAGGAGCACATCGTGAGGAAACCGCCTGCACAGGAGGCTGATCACCTACTTGCCTATTAGATTAACAATTGATCATGAAACAGATACAGAAATCTGAGGCCCTAGTCCCTAAACCTGTAGCGCCACTGATTAGTGTTTTATTTTATTCCTAAAACAAGTGTCCGTGGCTGGCACCTTACGTCAGATATGCCTTATTATCTAAAAATTACGCCTAAAGCTAATCTTCAATCAGAACTCGACGCATTTTCATAAACAATTTTCCACAGTAGTTTAACAAATGTAACCTTCGGTTCAACTTTTTCTAACTTAATGCTTAAATGGTATAATTTAGTTATAGGATTACAACTCACGCTTGGCCGACTCCGATAATCCGAATGAATTTTTAATCGGCTAACCTTTTACGATACTAGTTATGTCTGTATATATCTACTAGCTGTTCCCTGCCACGCTTTGCTGTAGCACATTGTGATTGAATGGTTGAGAAATGAGAAACAAAACAAAGAAAACATTTCATATAAGTTTAATTTCGCAATACTTGGGGAAAAAAATAGATAAAAAAAATCCTTGATGCGGATTATATATCATGCTACAATTTCGGCTCGATCGGTGCAGAACTTTTCGAGTTTTTGAAGCGTACACGAACCAACATAACATTTTTATATATGTATTTATATAGATATGGTGACCATGCGTTTAAGGCAGGTACATTGTCTCTGCCCATAACTCGACATCATTGTCTAGTTGCTAAGGTCAATACATTAGAAGGGCCGCGATTCATTAAATCATTTCTGCTATCGGTATCCCACAGAATTTTTACTCGTTATAATTTTTTGTAGGGTGATGATTCTCGAAACTTGGCTATATACTTTAAGAAATCAAAGAAGTAGATGAAATAAGAGGTAAGACAAACACTATTCATGTGTATTGTATTAGTATAGATAAATATTTTAAAGATACTCGTAAAGCCATAAAACCGCATTTCAAGATGTATAATATTTTAAAGAAAAATTGCTTTTTGCTAAAATCCGAAACGGCAAGGATTAAACGATTGTACCACTAAGCTATTATGATATTTTAGACATAGGTAACGCAATTTTAATTCAATTTCAAATACAACTATGCCTTCATATTAAGCTAGTAAACATAAATATTCCTTATTATTTGCACAATGCTTCGTTAATATATATAGAAAATATATGTCATAAGCGCTTTCTATAGAAATAACTACCAATCGTAGTAATTACAAATGGTACTTTTTAGAACCCGAGCGTTAATTGCCTCAAGTAATCTGTACTACGAGAGTAATAAACCAATTAAATATCAATTAAAAACGTATTATACTGTATCGTAAATTAAAAGTTAATTTCATGTTTAACTTTTATTAGGGCTAAAGTTTTAAATACATCTCGTGAGTAATATTAAAAATGTTTGTACTACTGTAAAATCCACTTGTGTTCGATTTTTGAATTATTTATCTAGACGATTTCTGTATTAAGGTCAATTTTCTATTCGATTTTCAAATGATACCTCGCTTTATACTCAATTCGTGAATTTTATTTTATTTTTATTTCAAACAAATGTTGCCTTGAATTCGTTCGAAGACATATACTTTTGTAGCACTATACAAATAAATATCTAGTGGAGCGAAGCCTTAAGGGGAAGAGGTCAGTTTGACTAGTAGAACAACTTTCTCTTAGGAATATAGCTCGAAATACGACTCGCGTGAAAAATGCTGATGCACGTTTGATTCTTTTGCTTTCTAAAAAAATTAAAACATGAGCTGTTACGTACAATTTTAAAGCATTTATCGCTCTGTAACTGAGTATTAAATGGTTAGTCAGATTTTGATGAAATGTATACAGTTGTTCGTTCTGTAATTTTTTTAATTATGTACTAACATTGTACATTTTTAGGCTAACACTGGGAACTTTCTTCTATATTGATTGTTCAAAATACATTTGAATCTCCACCTGTTGTTACTCAACTAAGTTGCACAATCTGCGTCATTGAGCTTTTAATAAGGTCACGCTTACACTCGTAAGCACTTTAGGTATTTGATTTATATACTAGGTTATAATAAATCGTTGTGGTCAGTATAAATGAATGTGTGTTATCACAGTGAGCAGTATTGGCCTAGTGGCTTCAGCGTGCGACTCTCATACCTGAGGTCGTAGGTTCGATCCCCGACTGTGCACCAATGGACTTTCTTTCTATGTGCGCATTTAACATTCGCTCGAACGGTGAAGGAAAACATCGTGAGGAAACCGACTTGTCTTAGACCCAAAAAGTCGACGGCGTGTGTCAGGCACAGGAGGCTGATCACCTACTTGCTTATTAAATTGACAAATCATGAAACAGATTCAGATATCTGAGGCCGTGACATAATTAGGGTTGTAGCACCACTGATTTAATTTTTTATAATAAATCATTAATTAAGATAAATAATTTCGTCTTAGATACTGCGTTTATAATTGAGTTATGGACACTTCTCATTTACGAGTCCTCTACCCTTACCTACCGT